GAGCAGTCGCCAAAGGAGTCAGGCGAACACAATGGAGAAATGGGGCCCAAGGGAGGAGCCGGCGGCTCAGGCAAACTCGAAAGAGCTGTCCACGGAGGTAACACCGCCCACTATGCCACTGGCAAAGCAACAGCTCAACTCGAATGCGGAGTCATTTCCCCCGCGGGGTAAGAGTAAACCGAGGCAGCCGTCCGCCACTTTTCCCACACCCAAGTACAGGCAGCCAAACTCTCCCCCCGTGGCAGACTTGCGGGCGGGCAGCTCAAGGACGCCAATGCAGCAGCCACTACCGCCGCCTCCCATGTACCAGGCGCCGATTATGGTCTCGCCGTTGGTGCCAGCAACACTACCGCCGCCGCCACCGCCACCACCGCAGGTGCCATTTTATATCACACAACATGGCATGCCACCGCCGCCACCGCCGCCACCGCCGCCACCGCCGCCACCGCCACCACCGCCGTCCTCTATGATGTCGCCTTTCATTTCGGGAATTGGAGCACTTCCGCCACCGTCGTCGTCGCCGCCGCCGCCGCCGAAGGCGCCTCCACCACCGTTCTTGCAAGCGCCGTGTGGCCCCATCCCGTTCAACGCTCCAATGGGACTTCCCATTCAGGCAATGTTGATGGCAAAAGGCCCCGACCAGAGCTTTTTGTCCTCGTTGTTTCCCAACGGTGCAATGCCACCACCACCACCACCACCACCGCCGCCGCCATCGTTTGCAGCATCATTGTTAGCGGCTGCTCAGAAACAGCTACAACAGCCGCCGCCGCCGCCGCCGCCACCACCACCGCCTCCTGGAATACCTCCAGCAAGGACGCAAGTCGCTCGCGTGAGTGTTGGTAATGCTTCCTTGGCAGCTCTGGTGTCGAAGGAGCCGCCAAAGTTTTCGTGTGTGCTGCTTTCCGGCATTCCTGCGGTTGGTAAGACCACAATGGGGCGTGAACTGGTAAATGAGCTGCGGCGGGACGGACTTGGGTGGATTTTCTTTTCTGGCGCCGACTTTCTCGCGGGGGCGACGGCGAAACGCCCAGTGTGGGAGACCACCAGGGGGGTTTTTGATGCGCTGCAGAAGCGCCTGGATGAGCTGCTCGAGCAGCAGCGTAGTGAGCGTAACGTGAAGGGGCTTGTGATTGACAAAAATGTGAAGGGGATTGAGGACGTCTACTACCTTGCCTCGCTGCTCAAGGCGAGGCAGATTCCATTTGTCGGCATTGTGGGAATGGAGGCGGGCGACGACACTGTGCTGCTAAAACGCATGGGTGGTGGTGAGGAGATGCGGGAGAAGATCAAGTACCACCGCGTGATACATGCCAGGGTGCGTGCCCTTGCAAAGGCCGCGGGGATGTACCGCGAGATTGACGCGACGAAGTCGAAGGAGGAGGTTTTAAACGCCCTGCGCACAATGGTGCTTGGCTGCTGTGCACAGCCCCCGCAACGCGGCATCCGGACCGACTTCTACGCCGGCTCCACGGTAACGACGATGGTTGACGACCATGCGGAGTACTACGACGTCGTTACCCGCGTCCTGGAGCTCCTGCGGTCGCCGACGGGGCTCTCCCACTACCCCGGCACGATGGACTTTACGCCCTTTTCAACGCGGGAGATGTCTGACAAGAATCGGGCCTCTGCAATAAAAACGTACTACGGTGTCCGGCGCCTGAACGACGGCGTTCGCCATCTGCTGATGTACCGTGACTCAAAGTTCTACCTCGTCCCGACGCACCTCAAGGCCGTGCTGCGGATGCCCGAGAAGGCGTGGCTGGGAAGCAAGCTCGACTCCATTGGGTGCTTTGTGCTTGAGGGCGACTTAGTGCGGCTTTCCAAGGACCGCTGCTGCGAGAAGTTTCTTGTCTTTGACGTTCTCTACTGGAGTGACGCGGCGCGGCCGGGGGTGAATCAAGCGGCGCCAATGAACTGGGTGGAGCGGCAGGCCCTGCTCGACACCCACCTCTGCGCCGAGAGCAAGGCATTCTTTCCCCCGGGGTCTGACTGCGTTGTGCTGCACCAGGCGACGTCGAAGTTGGAGCGCATCTTCGACTTCTTGAACGCCGGCGAGGACGCCTTGGAGGGGATCCTGTTTCAGCCCATCAGTTCTGCCCACGGCTTTGACAAGGTGTACGTCTGGCGCCCGCCATCGAAGCTCACGATTGATTTCCGCATTGGCGCGTTAATAAGCACCACCACCGAGGCGAATGAAGCGGAAGATGACGCTAACGGTGCGGCAGCGGCAGCGGCAGCGGTGGAGGCGGAGGTGGCGGCTGCGGTGAAAAGTAATGTTACCAGCCCCTCCTCTACCCCCGCGCGGCGGTCGCAGTCAAAGATGCAGTCAAACCCACCGCCGTCCGACCTGCTTCAGTTGTCCGGCACACATTCTTTAGGCCAAAGCATGAACAGTGCGGGGGGATTAGGGCGAAGCGTACTCTCCGAGAACGTGCCTACACGCACGTTTGAGCTGGAGGTGTATGACAAGCACGAAAAGGAGTATGTCCAGTTTGAGGAATGCACGGTTGAGGTGAAGCACCCCGACGTGGTGGAAGGTTGCATCTGCACCTGTGTCCTGGCAGAGGAGAAGAGTCGCTCTTGGACCTTTCAGCGCATTCGCTACGATGTGCTTCGCCCTGCGTATAAGCGGGACGTGACGTCGTTGCTTGAGCATTGCATTATTCCCAAGTCCAAGTTGTTGCACTGGCTGGTCCACGACAAGATTGTCCCGCAGACGCCGAATGAGACCCCGGTCATGGCGGCTCTGTCACCACCGCTGCCGCCGCCGCCGCCGCCGCCGCCGCCGCCGCCCGCAGTCTCGGGACCAGGGGCGTCAAAGTCCCCGGCGCAGCATCCCCTGACCCTGCCCACGTACGCCACTGCGGTCAGGATGCAGCAAAGTAACGCCCAGCCGCATGCGGCGCTGCGGATGTCGCCGCCCCCGATCGAGATGGCGGCACCCTCCCATGCGCTGCCGCTGCCGGGCGTGCACACGCGAGGCTCGCAAACTCGGGTGACCGCCTCGCCAATGCACACGTCCACCCCCCCTAATGTCCACAGCGCGTTGCACGCTCCGGCGGCGGAGCCCGCAACCGCCACACTTAAGCCCTGCAATGCGGCCAACGACGCAAACGCGCTCACGGCACTGCAGCTTCTATCGACGATGGTCTCTTCGGTGCACATTGTGCGGACGGACGAAACGGAGGAGCCGGCCAAAGCTGCCTCCAAGACCAGTCACCGCCGCAACCAGCAGCAAGGGAGCGATGCCCGCGGGTCATGCCAGGGCCAAGAGATGCATGAAACCGATAAGCGAGGCAACAACCGGGCGTCACGCCAGGGCGGCAAAAAGGCGACGCCTGCCGTAGACCATTGTGCGCAGTGCCTTAAGAAGAAGCAGTCCGAGGATCTTCGTCTTGACCGGCAGGACAGTAAGTATTACTGCTACAGCTGTTGGGCAAAGCTGGGATGGGAGTTCTGTCGGGAGTGTGGGGAGTTTAATAAGGGCTGCCGGGAGCGCACGCGCCGCCGCGTGGGCGAGTTCTACTGCAACACTTGCTGGTCCAGCTTCAACAAGGGGGACGAGGAGGCGACGAAGAGGGAGAACCCAACCCCCACCAGCTCTAATGGGCAAAAGCAGCAAAAGCAGAGGCAGAAGCAGCAGCAGCAGCAGCAGCAGCAGCAGCAGCAGCATGTGGTGGAGGATGGCCCCGCCGCAGCGGCGGCGGATGAAAAGAAGACGAAGAAGCGGAGGCCTGCGGAGCGTAAGAGCTCGAGGAAGTCACAAAGCGACGAGGAGAAGGTGAATGCCGCGTCTACAGCGGATGATGAGAACAATAACACGAGCTTGCCAAACAACTTCACTGCTTCGGAGTCAGAAAATGCGGGTCAATCCGATTCCAATGGGAAACAAAGCAAAAAAAGTGTCGTTGAAAGGGAGACACCGTGTGAAATAAATCAAGGTGAGATTGAGTCTGCGCCGCAGCCCACGCAGGAGGTCGTTGCCCCCAACCAGGTGGATGTGGCGGTGGAGTGAACTCTGCGTGTGAGGCGCTAACGCGAGCTCTAAACGCGTGTGCGTGTGTGTGCGTGTGTGTGCGTGCTTCTTCGACGGTTTGGTAATTGTGTGTACGCGTGTATTTTTTTTTATACGTTTCACTGACTCCTTTTTTTGTTTGCTGGCTTGTTTTACCTGTTTTTGGTTTTGCTCATAGTGTCGCCTCTGCGCTGTGTGCCTTCGGAGTGGGCGCAGACGCCGTTGTGCCCCACGCGCCATGCACCACCGCGGGCGGGCGGCCGCGTTTGTGTGCGGGGTTTGTGTGTGTGTCTGTGCGTTTGTGTGCGGGGCTCTCGGGCTGCGGCGGACAACTGAGGCAGCAGCAACTAACCGTTTTTTTTTGTTTGTTTGTTTGTTTGTTTGCGTGTGTGTCTTTTTTTTCTTCTTCCCCTTTTCCCTTTTTTTTCTTTTTGAAGCGTCCCGTCTCCTCGCCGTACCCACCGCCCCCC